TTCTACGCCGCCGAGGAGCGCATGGCCACGTCGCATGGCATGTCGTCGCGCGGGATGCGGAACAAGTACCTCAAGGACCTGTGGACCCAGTGGCGAGGCTGCCTGCTGTCGTACGACGAGGGCCTGATCAAGGGGGATGCCGTTCTGGGTACGGCGGTATGGAGGAACATCTTCCAGGCGGACGCCGACGCGTCGGTCGCGGACGTGGCGGTCGTCACGGCCTACCTGAGGAGGGAGCTAGCTAGGGTGGACAAGATTCCCGAGGGCGAGTTCTCGACTGGCGAGATCAAGTTTGAGGACCCGGCCCCGGCGTTCGTGGCGCAGGTCCTTGGCAGGGAGAGCGAGTGGATGGCGAGGCCGTTTGATCCGGAGGACTTGAAGGTGCTGGAGGAGGCGGCCAAGGAAGGGGAGAATAAGAAGGCTTGAGCGATCCGTGTGCTCAAGGCGACGATCATGTACGGTGTGAGAAGAGCATCCGTGTGATTGTTTATGTACTATATATATGCCTTTCTGAAAGAGATGTGTTTATAAGTCGATGCCGGCAAAGGGAAAACCTGTAGCCTCATGTCTTGCATCTCATCAATGCTATTAGTTTGGTCATAACTGTTCGAAAACAATCTTGAACAATCGATCGTGGTGCTCTACGCAATATCTAACTTGCAAGGACAACCCGTGTGCACTAATACGTCAACGAGATTGAGACTGCATCAGCATTTGGAGACCCCCCAGCCAGCGTACGTGTCTACCCCGTCTCGCGACGGAAGAAATGAAAGGCGTCCCACCCGTTGAAAGTGTGCCTATAGGATCTTCCACTTCTTGATACCCTACTGAGCGTCCAATAGCATATGGCGTAGAATGATAAATAGCGTTAGCAACCTAGTTGCGGTCTGACGGGATTCCTCCATGCCGGAATGTACAGCTGGGGGACCTGGTTTTTCTCAACAAACAACTGAGGTAGGTCCATTCATATCGTATCAAGCTGCAGGTCGATCCTTTGCCAGCATTCTCAAGCACATATTCCACTCGCTATCATCGCTGTACAATATCCGTTGGTTGCTGCCAAGACATTGTGGAAACAGGCGCTCGACACTGCTACGCGCGCGGGGACAGCAGCTGGCGTCTCGTAAGCAATGCGCGAGTCACATTGCTGGACAAGACCGCACTGCATGAGCGCGTGGAGGTCGGAACTAGAATCAAAGAGTAGGGCCATTGTATGACGGTCCTCACTTGACGCGACGCGACATCGCATCTACTTCGTGTAGGCGAGACCAGCGTGAAGTAACAAGGGAAAGGAGGGCGCCTCTCGCTCCGCCCTGATCAAGCGACCGCATATGCCCGTCGTAGGGGACGATGTACTGCATGAGCAAGGCTGAGAGACTGAGGTCCGCAAATTTGCGAACACGATGGCGATTTTCGTAATGTTTCCTACTGACTTACATTTCTGTTTGCGAGCTGTCGAGCCAGTCGTTGAAGAAGCCCTGTCCAGCAATCGAGTACTGCAGCAGCATGCGACTCCTTGAGGTAAACACGCTTACCTTTACCGAGTTCTATCCTCCCAACATCCCAAAATATGCAATCGCATCTCACAGATGGGTGGCCGGCACTGAAGTGATGCTCAGCAGTGTGCAAGATGGAAAAGAGAAGCACAGCCTTGGGTATCAGAAGGTCAAGGGGTTTGCAAAGTATGTTAGGACGCAGATACCAGATTTGAAGTGGTTGTGGATCGATACGTGCTGCATCAATCAGCATAGCGATCGTGAGCTGTCAGAAGCGATCAACTCCATGTTCCGTTGGTATCGGGACGCGGAAGTATGTCTAGCATACCTTCAGGACGTGCCAGCAGTAACAGATGCAGCGCCCACCTTTGAGAAGAGTACGTGGTTCAGCCGGGGTTGGACACTACAGGAACTGCTTGCGCCAGCCATCGTCATCTTCCTTTCTGAAGACTGGCAGGTGATCGGACACAAAGGGAAACCCCGAAGTAGTGTACCGATGCAGGCGGGTACACCGCTGGAGAGTCGCATTGCTAATATTACTGGCATACCTGAAAGCATTCTGCAGGACTACGATAAGAGCCACAGCTTAAGCACGGAGGAGAAGTTGAAATGGATGGAACATAGACAAACGACACGTGAGGAGGATTCCTCATATTGTCTTCTTGGTATCCTAGGTGTTGGTATGAATATTCGATACGGCGAAGGTCGGGAGAAAACGAGAGAGCGTCTGCTCAAAAAGGCACGTTTGCGCGGCAGAGACATCGTCTTAGGCGAAAATCATCACGGCATTGAATGTGGACAGAATTTCGGATCTATCTACTTCGCCTCTAGTGAGTCCAGTCTGCATAACCGCGTAAACAACTTGAAGACGCTAAAAACACGACGTTAGAACAGTCCGAGACCCGGCCCAAGCCATCGTCGAATATTCCATTTCGACGTGATGCTAACTTTGTTAAGCGTGCGACGTTGACCAACCAAATACGCCAAAAGCTGTTGGCCCCAGCAGGTAGAGTTGCACTCGTAGGACTTGGTGGAGTTGGGTAAGAGGTATACAGAAGCACAATGAAGGCTCCACTAACACGTGCATAGAAAATCACAGCTCGCAATTGAATACGCGCACCAGCTACGGCAACAATCACCACAGACGTGGATGTTCTGGGTCCACGCAAGCAATACGGCGCGCTTCGAACAGAGTATGCGCGACGTCGCTAATCAGCTAGGCATAGACGAAAGGCAAGATCCTGATGTTGACTATCTCCAGCTTCTCCAGAACTGGCTGCGTAACGAGAGCAAAGGCAACTGGTTCATGGTGCTTGACAATGCAGACGATGCTAGCTTTCTTCTCGAGCCATTAGCGACGTTAGGTACAGCGCAGCCTACGCGAAGTCGAATTGGATACATTCCTTCCTGCGATCACGGATCGGTAATGATCACAACACGAAGCGAGGGTGAGGCCCTGAAGCTAGTCTACAAGACCGAAGTTCTTAGCGTGTCGCCGATGAGCGAAGAGGAAGCAGAGGAGCTGCTTGAAAGCAAGCTTGGACAGCCGAGTCCACACAACCGGAACTTGGTACAAGCACTCGATTGCATACCATTGGCTATTTCGCAGGCGGCGGCGTATATCCAAGAGCGAGCGCCACGATGCTCAGTACAGCAGTATCGCGAAGAGATAGAGCGAAGTCGTGTATCGCGGTCGAGTCTTCTGCGACGTCATATCCCACTCCCTGACCGAGATCTAGAGGCGACCAATGCAGTGATGCTAACATGGCAGATTTCGTTTGAGCACATCTATAGGACGCAGCGGTCTGCGGCAGAGCTGCTGTCGACAATGAGCTTATGCGATCGACTCGGGATCCCAGAGACTCTGCTGCGTGCAGATGTTGGAAACAGTGATTTCTCTATCACGTCTTCAGTCTTCGAAGATGATATCGTCACACTTCGCAATTTCTCGTTTGTTTCTAGCACTATAGATCCACAGAGCTGGGAAATGCATCGGCTAGTTCAGGACGCCACACAGGCCTGGCTAGCAGACCGTGGGAGGTTCGATGAAGTCTTCAGCCGATTCATACATCACCTATCCAAGTTATTTCCATCCGGTGAATTCGAGAACCGGCCATTGTGTCGTATGTTATTCCCACATGCAATGAGCGCAGCAGAGCAGAAGCCTGCAAGCGAAAGCACACAGATCGAGTGGGCGTTATTGATGTATAACTTAGCATGGTACACACTCCAGCAGGGAGATTATGTGAATGCCCTTACAACAGCAATGAACTCAATGACAGCTCGATCAGAACAGCTCGGCGGGGAAGATGGATTAACGTTATTGAGCATAGAGATGGTCGCTTCTACGTACCGGAACCAAGGACGGTGGCAGGATGCAGAGCAGCTAGA